GCGCTCGTTCAGCGGCCTCGTTTCGCTTCGACGGCTTTCAGCCTCACCCTGCTTCATTCTACTACGTTAATAAATCATTAGCTCATCCATGAACATGATTTCTGCCCCGAGTCCCGTCGGATTGCATCGGCTGTGTGGATGAAGACTACAACTCCCATGATTCCACACTCAGTCACAGTCATCAAACTAAGCCTTTGACTATTTGTTAATTTTGAATACGCGCCCTCTAGCGGCGAAAATTACATATTGTGCCTTTAATCCAAGCTTTTGTTGTTTTTGTGCAATTTATTTTGTAATGCTGTAATTTTAATGCATTTAATGCATTTTAATTTAAAACTTTGAAATATTTGTTGTAGATTATTTTTAATATTTTTGCCGTTTAAAAATGTTTTATACTACAAAAACTATAAAAATACTTTAAATAAAATAAACATTTAATTGAAATAAAATAAAACAAAAATCTTAAACCTATTTCAGCTAGTTGCCAAGGCAACATTTCTCATTTTTGTTTAGTTTAGGTACTAAAATAACTTGAACTAATAAATAAAAATTAAGAAATACTATTTACAAAAATAGTAATTTTTAGTAACTATTTATAAAAAAAAAAACATAAATGACTAAAAAATAAAAAACAACAACAAAATTACTAAAATTACAGTAAACATATAAAATTACAGTGAAAATATAGAAATAAAATCTAATTCATAGTATATAAATAACTCTAAAATAACACTGGCACAGACAAAACAGGTTTCTTATATCTCCTGTTTTCTTTTCAGTCCTTCAGTCAAAAATACAGTAAAAACAGTAATATTGTGAAATATTACAATTTAAAATAATATTTTCTATTTAAATATATTGTAAAAGGTATAAAATGTATTCCTGTGATGCAAAGCTGAATTTTCAGCTTCATCACTCCAGTCTTCAGTGTCACATCAAACAATGACGAGAGTTTGAGAGTTTACAGTAATTGCATAAGAACGCTTTGGCATTGGCTGTTTTCTTTAGAAAATATAAACATTGAGTGATTTTTGCATTTTTGTGTAGGTGCTGCTGCACACATCACTGTAACATTCCACCTGAGAGTTATTTGAAACTCACTGTCCATTCAGAAACTCTGCTCGGGGAGAAACCTTCACCTCCACGACACGACAGCCCATCAATTATTCACTGATATACAAGATCCTTTAACACTCATGACCAAATGATCAGGTGCTTTCTGAGATGTTCTCTGGTGAGCCATTTTTCTTTTTCAAATGAAGAACTGTTGAATTCAGGTTGTTAGCATGAGCTCTAAATGTTGGTCAAGCCTCATTGAGTTTCTTATTCTTGGCTGAATTGATGCACATCAAAAATAACAAACACATAAATATAAATATATATATATATATATATATAATTTTTATTTTTATTAAGTGTGCACTGAATATCATAAATGGCTCATTTAAAAGACTTTTTTTAAAGAAACATAATGAAACATTTAACAAGTTGTCAAGTATTTTGCTAAGTTGTCATGCTGTAATTTTTTTTTACTGCATTTATTTATTTGTTTAATCTTAAAACAGCATTTAGATTTGTTTGTAGATTATTAAATTTTTTTTTTTGCTGTTTAATACAAGTTTTGTACTTTATAATTGTTTTGCATAAAGACATGCTTAAAAATTATTACTCAAAATAAAATATATGTTAACTGAAATCTGAAATGAAATATATAAAAATACTTGAACTTGTTTTATTTCATCTAGTTGCCAGGGCAACATTTCTGATTTTTGTTTAGTTTAAACTGAAGTACTAAAATAACCATAAAGTAACTACAACTAATAAATAAAAATGAATAAATAATATAGACATTTTTTTTTACATAATAAAAATGGCAAAACAACAATTATTTATAAATTACTAAAACTTTAAGTAAAATTAAAGTGAAAACAGAAAATATAAAAATTAGAATCTAATTCAGCATATTAACAAAAACTATAATAGTATATCAATAATACTAAAATAACACTGGTTCCAGCTGCTGTTTTCTTTTTAGTTGTCTTTCAGTCATCATGTCTGTGTGTTTTATAAACAGATGCGTTTACGCAGCTACACAAGTTCTATGAAGCTCAAGAAGTTTCCATGAGTTTGCGCTGGACTGAAAGCATGAATGATAAATGCTGGTCATTTTACCTGGGTCCATCAGGGACGGTCAGAGGTCATCAGGACGCAGAATAATCCTGAGAAATATTCAGCGGGAGTGTGTCGGCGTTCAGGATCAGACGTGCGTGTGTCTGTGTGAAATGGCTGTGGCTTGTGTGATCGCTCTCTCTCTCTCTCTCTCTCTCTCTCTCTCTCTCTCTCGCTGAACAGTATCGTGTTTGTTTAATAATTGACGTCTGAGACTGTGTGCTTGTGTTTATGAGTGTCCTTGTGAACATACCTGCACGTGTCTGTTATTGTAAACAAACGTGTCATGCATAAAATAATTAAATTTAACAATAATAAAATAATAATAAAAATTTTAAATTATAAAAATGTTTTGTTTTGTTTTTTAAATATTTCACCATTTAGGTCTATGCTAGTGTACATCCTACCAAACATTATTAACAGTTACCAATAGAGGGCACTGATTAACTGACAGATTAATGTTTCACTCATGCCTAGACTAGATAAAATGATGACTTTGCATGGCACGGGTTTCTTTAAAGGACTAAGTTCATCCCTGCAGGATGTAAATTGAATGCACACAATTAGTAGAATAAATTGATATTCACACACATTTAAAGTGTTTGTGCAATATTGATGAATGCATTCTTGCTCCATTAGTCTGATTTTCATAATAATGCGTGCTTGATTTGTGATCGTCTCCTACAGTCGTCCATTGCTGCAGATGTGTTGATGTTGCCTGCCGTATTACGCCAGCGTGGAGACATTCTGTGTAAACACAATGTTAAATGGCATGCTCAAAAATACAGTTATTCATAAATACAGTTATAGTAGAATTGCAAAATTTGACCATGCAACAATTATTGTTGACTGTTTATTTATTTGTTTGTTTGTTTTTATTATTTGTATTTTTATGATTAGATTATATTATTTTATTTTTATTTATTGAATGCATGTAATTATTACATTTACATTTAGTCATTTAGCAGACGCTTTTATCCAAAGCGACTTACAAATGAGGACAAAAGCAGTCAAAACTAACAAAAGAGCAACAATATATAAGTGCAAATGACAAGTCTCGGTTAGCCTAACGCAGTACATGTAGCTAGGTGTATATATATATTATACACACACACATATACACATACAAAGAAAAACAAGTAGATAGAATAGAAAAATAGAAAGCTAGTGTTTTTTTTTTTTTTTTTTTAAAAAAAGAGAA